TCATCAAGAGTATATACCTCCTAAATGGGACCATCTTTGCTAATTGCTCCATCTTCATTTGAACATTTTTTTTATATTAGAATCGAATATAATCACACTTCAAACATTTCATAGATATATCAAATATAATGTTATCAAATTGTCCTCCTAGGATATCAATTCGTATTGGAGCATTTAAAATTGATTCGTGATATATTAATCTCTTTAGCCAGTAAATGAATCTAAATAAATAATCTTTCAAACTTTTAGTTCGAGTGATCTTATACAGGGATTTTGATAAAGATGCATTTGTATATTATTTTCAATTTTTTAATTCCACCCCCTATTGCTAAGAGAATTGTACAATTAAAATTGACAATCAGTAAATTCCTGTCATCAAATATCTCCCATTTGAGATAAAGGTTAGAACTACACATTTCTTTTATGCATTTTTTACTTTCATCTCATTGCAATGTGGTGGATTAATTGAACTATCAAATAATCTGATGAGAAAATTAGGCTCCGATTATAAGCCAATTATAATGGGGAAAACTATTATATTGGCATGATATATAATAGAATTTTCACAAAAATGGGAAGAACTTTGTCCTCAATTAATTGAAGGAGTTTAACAAATAATAGTGTTAAATCATTTATCGACATTACAACTAACACTTATTAAAATGTTGAGATTTAGAATTACAAGCAATAACAAGACAATGTCTTGATTGTATATTCTGAAAATTAAGCAATTAATTTTAAATTTGAGCAGTAATTTCTCAAACTTCAAGTTGCGAACATTATGCAATCATCTAGTATCTATATCAAATCTATTAAATACAAATAATATTTAGATAGTCAACATGGAGAATGATGTGGCTCCATTTATCATTCTAATTAATTTTCAAAAATATAGGAAATTCAATACCTATTTAAGCCAGCAATGTTTAATGATTAATTGTCGATAAAAAGAACAAATGATCTATATAAAGTTATTAGACCGAAGAATCTTCTGGTTCTTCATTGAATATCCATTTTTAATTTTTAATTTCGCATCATCATTGATCTGACGATGGTCCAATTGGTCATACTAAATAATAAAATTATATTAAACTTCTGGTTCAATATATGATATAATTCAATTATTTAATTTCAAAAATATGATTAAACATTATATACTCGTATAATATTCAATCAAAAAGACAAACTAATTAATGTCAACATGATATGAGTTATATGTTTTTCTTAAAGGATAAACATGAATTCAAAATGATATATTCTTCTAAAACGTGCTACTTCGAAAGCACATTATTTTTAATTATTGCTTTTTCAAGAGCAATATTTCAATATTCTTTTGGAATATTGAAGATTATAATCTATGCTCTTCAAAAGCAATAAATTAATATACTTCTTGAATTTAATAATATAGAAGATTTGTTTCCTTTAAAAATTGCAACCCATTATTGAATTGTTTAATTTGTATTTCTTCAGTAACACAATGAGATATGTATTGTTCATGATATGTGTTATTTCGAGAGCACGTTATATTGTATTATTATTTCTTCAAGAGCAGTAAATCAATATTCTTCCAAAATTTTGAAAATAATATTACGCTTTTTAAGGATCAATAAATTTGATATTCTTTTGAAATATTAATTATAATGTTGTACTACTTCAATAACAACAAAAGATTATGTGTAATCAATAGATCTATAATTAATATTTTTCTAGAATATTAATTATATAATTTTGAGCTACTTCAAGAGCAGCAAAGGTAGTATACATCAATTTAATAATTATGCATAAGTTTATACTAAATAAGTTAATAGAATTTGAACATGCTATTCATAGATAATATTAAATACTAATAAAGTATAACACCAAAATAATTTTTGAAAAGAAACACACGCATACCCATATAAGCATACCTGTATGGTGGGCTGATTGGGGGATGATGACATTTTTTTTAATTGTGGTCTCTTCCTTGTTTCCTATTGATACAGTGCAGCTTCGCACAATGGTTGGGTTATGGAGTTGCAGGACCTATTTTGTGATGGCTAGGCAATTAAGATGAGTAGTAGGATTAGATAATCTCCTGTATACACCTAGCTATTGCAGGTTTTTCTTGCTGTGTTGACCTTGCACTCATATCGCAGATACTTACACTTTGGGAGCTGCAACCTGCAAATACCTTAATTGAATGATATAATCATATGAAGAGTTTCAAAGCAGATTGGTGCTACTTGGCCTTTATGCCTTCAATCCACCAAGAACTCTGGCATTGCATTAGCAAAGCTAAAAACTTCTTTCTTCCTTATAGTAGAACTTTATGAGTAGAGAGGGAAATAAATTTTACTAACTTAATTAACTGGAACTTCATGCTGATAACGTGTTATGAACTAGAGAAAAGAGAAGAAAATATAAGAGTCAAAACTTAAGCATATATTATTAAGAACCAGTGCACTATATTTATAGGTTTCCAAAATAAAAATTACAATCGGAATGAAATAAATCTTCTAAACGCGATAAAACTTATTTATGTATCATGATAAAACTAATTATCTTATTATTTTAAAACAAAATAATAATAATAATAATAATAATAATAATAATAATAATAATAATAATAATAATAATAATAATAATAATAATAATAACCTGAATTTGAAATTGAAACCTCAAAGGCATGGTTTGACGTAATTTTTACATTAATTAATTAAATCTTATCCAAATACCTATTAGTCATTACAACAATGAATGCAAAACCCATAAATTGAGTGAAATGTTAAATATTTGCTGCTAAACCATATGCATTGACCGTCCATTATAATGAAGTGGACAATTAAATCTAGATTTTAGCTTAAACTCACACATTTCTTTTCTTTTTACTAATAATTTTCTCAAATTTTTGCTAAATTCCTAGGTCAGATTAACTAAATTTTCTTATTTTTTGGTAGCTTGTTAATTTTATTGATATATTTGTTGTTTTGTTTTGCTCTATTTGGTGTTGGGATCTCTTAAATTTTTAGTGGAGAATTTTTATTCTTTTATGTACGTCTCAATTTCTTAGTCAAGTCACTCAATTAATCATTTAAATTTTTAACTTAGCTTTTAGTTTTTTACTGTTAATTGCTAGAATAATTTAATTGTTTACTTAAATGGTCATTTTGAAAATTTGATCAATAAGCCTTCCAGCAGATTACTTTGATGGAAATTTAATGCAAATAAATATAAGATTATTCCCCCAAATTACTAAAGATGTGTTAGTTATTCAAATATCCACAATTGAGTCTATATTTCTTGTCAGTGGTTGGATGTTTGATTCTTGAAGGATTTCGTTGAGAACAAGTATGATTGATAAGATGATTTGCTCTAAAAATTGGTTATATATTAAACAAGAAATTATTGTAATTCATCAATATTTTGGATGATGTAGAAGTATATAAAAATTCACAAAAATTTATAAAATGTAATATCGTATTTGATATTTTTATTCATTTTATTTTATTTTTTTATATCATTTAACTATAATCAATGAATTCATGTACAATATTATTATCTTTATAGAAGGAATGAACTGTGTGATATAATTGCAGATGTTGCGGCAATTAGTATCGACTAAGAGATTAAAATATTTATATAATGTTGGTACATTATAATGATTAGAATTGTACAACTTTAATTTTAATAGTTTTAAGGATATTGTTTATATTTTAACATGAAATTTTAGACTAATATTTATAATTCAACTTATTAGATATATGTCAGTTTTTTGTTTATTAAATCATGGTTTTAAATTGAACCAAACTGGAAAAAGTGTTTGGATTAGTTTGATTTAGAAATTGAAATGGTTTGGTTTGGAAAAAATTCTAAATCGCTTTAAGTAATTTGGTTTGGAATTTTGTTATTAATCGTCCAAACCGAATCGTGTTTACCCCTAGTTCAGTTAGAGTTGCATTGTCGATTGATGTTGTTGATAAATTAATTTGGAAATGTTTATAGTTAAAATGAATTGGCAAAAAGTATTTTGGTGGTAGCTGAATATATTTCCTATTATAACTAGTACAATAAAAAATGAAACTAATAAATATATTTTTGGTGACTCAATTGAGTTTGCATGTTGTCAATTTTTCTAGCAGCACAATATTGAAAATTATTCAAAAAAAAATTCCTTCCACAGAAGGCGACAAGTGTATAAAACTCAAGCAGCTGTATTAGAATCAGTTGATATGATACTCTTCAAATTTCACCAGAATCGAAATCTATTTCGAGCAATTATGTTTTCAATTTTTTTGTAAGAAAATTGCTTAATTTTTCTCCAGTATCATTAGATGTGGTTTCAGGTAAGAAATAATTGTTCCGGACCTCCGGTCTTCTATCACCCAAGAACCATGAGAGGATCTTTAATTTGCCTTGGTGAGTAGTGACCACAATCAGACCAAAAGGGTTTACATTTATGACAATCTATTGAGAATAGGAACTGCGATAAGTGATTTTCCAACCCAAAAAAATATATATATATGTGAAGTAGATAGAACAAATAATATTACAAACAGAATATAAAGTATGTTACATGGTAGACACTTTAACCGCTTAATAAGAAATAAAATTCTTCCATTACACGTGAGTTCTGCCTCAGCACGTTACACTCGACTTCTAAAGTTGTTATGCTACGCACATGACTTCTCAAATTGTTATCCTACAAGCACATTCTTAGATGTCAACTTAATTTCCTAGGCTTGCACCATTTGTAAATTATCTCTTGTAATCCAACCAAATTAAATATCGAGAAGGATTCTCTCAGATTTTCAAGTAAAAGATGTAGTAATAACTCAATCAATTGAATTTATTATCCCTTTTACAGGAGACCATTTTGGTCAATTAATCAAGTTTTCCTTCATATATATAAGATTCATTTCACCCTAAAAGGTGCCCAAGACAGTAAAGCAGTGCCCTTCTTCAGTGTGGTAGTGAAAATTAACCAAAATCTCTCTATGTTCACACACTCAAACACACCCACAATGGAATGGCCAGATTTTCAGTGTTCACCTTTCAATAATGATCTTTCTTGGTATGATCTGTTCACCCCTGAATTCGAGGTTGAGAAGCCGGCAAATTGGACCTTTGAAGAGAACGAGTTGCTCGAAAATGCTTTGGCTGAAGTTGATCCAGAAAATCCTGCCTTCTTTGAAAATGTTGCTTCTAGGATTCCATGGAAATCAATTGATGAAATCAAAATTCACTACCAAGCCTTGGTTGAAGATGTAGAGATGATTCAGTCTGGTATTTACCCTATTCCCAAATATGAAACTGATGATAAGGACAACCAAGATGAATTACAAGTTTGCAATGAAAAGGAATCTCCATCACCGGTGACTAAAAAGACATGCAATGGCCAGCATCGCCGAAGGGGAGTTCCATGGACTGAAGAAGAACACCAGTATTTTTCTTATGCTTTAACTGCATTTTTATTACTTTTACCTAAATAGTTCGAGTATTTGACAATTAATCTCTTTCCATGTCGAGGAGATTTTTAATTTTAGCCGATTATGTAGATTGCATGCTAGATCTTTAAGTTTGATTTTCTCATTTCTTGGTTTTTCATTTTTTGTTTCCCTAAATCTTATTACAATGAGGGGAAAGTATTTATCAACACCAAAATGAATTGAAATAGAATACAACTTTTAGAAGGGGCCTCCAGAATATCTGCTACCTGGAACTCCTTTTTATTTTTTCTCGAATCACACAGGTACGACTATCTCTCTTTGATTTGAATTCAATAGCTATGTGCCAGTGTCGATTTTAAATTTCTTTCCCATTTAATAAACGCATTTCTGAGTTCTCCTTCTCTAGGGTTTTTATAATGGTAGACCTGTAAAATATTATTCAATCAACCACAAAATTTTACATGAATAATTGGCATAGATGTAATCACGGGTTGAAATCTCTTGCATGCAAGAGTTCAAGAAACTCAATGCTCACCTACTATTTCGTAACCGGTGGAACCCAAATTTAATATAGAAAATCAAATTAGACCACGTCAGGGTTTTGACTTCTAGCACAGAAAAAACTCTTTTTTCAGTACATTCATTTACTAGTGATGACAACTTTCTTGTTGCAATTTTATCAGAAAATTTTGTCATATTTTTCTAACCTTTAGCTTTTACTCGGATATTTCGTCAATTTTTCTTGCAGGTTGTTCCTCATGGGTCTGAACAAGTATGGGAAAGGAGACTGGAGGAGCATATCAAGGTATTATGTCCTTTGTAAGACCCCAACCCAAGTTGCAAGCCATGCACAGAAATACTTTCGACGAAGAAACAGTTCGACCCCAATGGATAAGCGTCGACCCAGCATCCATGACATTCAGAGAGTCAATCCCACCATGTTGGCTTCAGTGCCTCCAACCAATACCAACTATATTAATAATCTCCCAACCATTGAAGAACCTACCTCTTTCCCCTCTGGCAACCCTCTTTCAATGTTCAATAACAATTTTGAACCCAATTTTAATGGGCAGTTTGGTGATTTTTCAAGGGTCCAAAACCCTATGTTTCCACCAATTGATACCACATTCCTAGCAACTGATCATATGCTCAATCATTCTTCTACTTCCTATTCTCCATCATGCATGTTCCCATCCATGCAAAACCAACCCTGGGGTTGATCAGAACTTGTCTTCTATGTTGCTATATTGTTATCTGTTTCATGGAGAGTGCACACAACATTTTTTCTTGGCACTTCCTTTATTTAGTTAATTTTTCTCCTCATATAATTTTAGCGAAACAAGACTTTAATGTTTTTGTAATTGAATTTTAATTTTAAAATGTGTTTTCTTTTACTCTTTCGGCAACAATTACCGTGTAAGGAAGCAAATCTAGCTATTTTCATTATTTTGTCAGCGACAAAGTCGCATCAGGAAGAAAATCTAGCTATTTCATTATTTATCAACGACGAGTGGTATGTAAGGAAGTAAATTTAGTTATTTTCATTTTATATACCACACTAACTACTCGATGAATTAATTAATAATCTTAATGGATTAGCGGAGCCATAGCAACCTCTAATCAATTAAGACGGTTGCCTGAGTCTCCACATTCAGGTGGTCCCTTATACATGTAATTTTCTGCCCTTTTAATTCCGCATTGCTACACAATGAAATATCCGATGGAATGTACTCTCAATAGATTTTTTCATCTGTAATAATTATAATTTTTTTTAATAAATGTAACTTACTGAGTAATAAAAATAAGAGGATATTACAGATAAAAAATTTCTTTGGTCATGAAATTACGAGAGAAAAATTGAGATTTTCTATGATATTTTACGTCGGTAATAATATCATAAAAGTATCTTATTTAATTTAATTATATAGGGAATTTTTTTGGTAAATAAAGTAATAAAAAATTAGGCATTATCCATGAATTCTATTGATCAGTAAAATAATCATTTATTTTAAAATCTCACATCAAATATGGTAATATAAACATAAGACTTAGCAAACATCTAATATTCAATAAACCCACTTGTGCGAGAGAAACTACAGCCAACATCACGTAATCAAAAGGTAAAAAACAATATTATTGACATTAACCTTAGCCTTGTACAATATCTGTTTCGGTTATCTTCTTTTTTCTTAGGGCCTAAATGATGACAAATCAGATGGTCAAGAAATAGGGAAAATTAGGCACGTTCATGTATTTATGTTTTAAAATTCAAAAATTAAGTATTTCTTAAATCAAGTTTCAGAAAAATCAATTTTCTAAATGTCGTATCTTGAAAAAAAAATCTAATCAAACATTTCTTCCTTTCCCCACATTCTCTCTATTGATTACATACCCCCATCGCCTCCAATCCTTCCTCTCCCCACTTTTTCACCACCGCCACCTCCATTGACATACCACCACACCGCCACCATCACCTGCCACCAAATTTGCCAAAAATAAATAAATAAAATAAATGATGCCCATGCCACGACAAAAATCACCACCATCACCATCACAACCGATCTACACCACCACCACTGCATCTGCATTGCCAACCACCCCGATCTGTACCATTCCGGCACCCCCACCATCCACCTCCACCACTAAAAATCAAACATTACCACCATAAAAATCAACACCCCAAACCCAACCTATCACCACTGTCGTTACCACCACCATCACTATGACCTCGTACCATATTTGTCAATTGACATCACCACCATCTCTACTGTATTTACCACCAATATCACTGGAATATACTTGAATGACTTATTTTTTGTTCTATGATTTGAGGCATGTCTGATTTATGAAATACTTTTAATTCACCTAATTTTGGAATTGGACGTCACATGTTTCATAGTTGGGTAATTAATATGAATATGAGAAAGTTGACTTTTTAGAGCCCATCAGAGCTCTTGGCATGCTGAATTATTGACTGAGCTAATGCCCACCCATATTCATGTAAAGGAGATATTTGCAAGCCCAAACTGTCTAAAGAAATGGACAGTTCAATCGACCTTAGGTTTTAGAGGAAATTTCACCCATTACTATTAAATAGGCTTAATCTGACGAGGTTGACGAAGAGAAGGGTGGAATTAAATGGGCTTATATTTGAGTTGATAATATACTTGTGAAACGCTACTTAGCAATGAAGGGAGGGAGGGAGGGAGGGAGGGAATCATGAAGCATATCACAAACGTAAAGATGAGTGTGGTTCCATTTGGTTTAATTTTGATTAGAACCAAAATTGGATCGAGAATAAATGATTTTTTTATTTTTTTTAGAATGAAATCGTTGGTTCCATTGGTAATTATGGAAAGAGTAAAGTTATTCATAGTCAGGGACTACAGAAGTCATCTTATATAACAGTTTGTTATTTAGAAATTAACTTTTATTTGAGGCAACAAAGTTATAGAAAATTAATAGCTCAAATAACAATTTGTCATGTAGAATGACTTCTTCAGACGTTAACTATAAATTACATTACTCTTATGGAAACGACCTAAATCAAACTGAATGGTTCCTCTTTGGTTTGATTTGATTCCATAACTTAAATTTCTTAATTATTCATACTAATTACCGTACAATGTTTTATCACGAAAAGTTAACATGTTCATCAGAAATCAAAACAATAAGTTAATGCAATGCAAATAGAAATATCCATCTTCATATTGATAAAGTTCATTCACTAAATTAATAAAGTAATTAAAAAAAAAACAATTGGGCTAAAACTGGTTCTTGAACCTTAGCAGTATAATCGGAACCAATCTATTCTTTATTCTGAAAACCAGAATCATTTAAAATTTTAGAAGTAAATGGAACTGGCAATTTGGTTAGTTCCGATTCTTCCTTACGTCCTTGCTCAAAGTGAGAATAAACAAGATTACGATAGCTGGAGGAGTAATAAGTATTTCACCGTCACCGTGTATCAAGAATAAAGTTGACCGTCTGTATTAGCAATAAATCATAGCCTAGCACTCCTGATAACTGTGAGAGTCAAATGGAGAAATGAGGAAGGAAGCGTGAGATTCTTGGAGTAAAAAGGGTGAAGAATCTCACAATCTAGCCTCAATCAGTGGAGAGAAGTTGAATGATTTTGGAGCTCCAATGGTAAAAAATTCAAACCAAGATGATGATCCAACCGAGCCTACAAATAAAGAAAGGTTTCCAACAAACTCCAACAAGTAAGGTATCCTCTATTATCAAGCTGTCAAATGAAACAAATGGAAAGCGTAACTGTTGACTGTTGCCAAAACCAAAACAGATTTTATTATTATTATTTTATTTGATTTTACAGCTGAGCCTATGTGTTCAGGTTGCCATTCAATAAAAATTCTCCCCTCTCAGATTTTTTCCCCTTCTCTCTTTAGGTATCAGAGCTATTGTGAACACTAGGCAACAATATCATATCACAACTCCAGCATTTTTTTTCAACTTCCATCTTATCTTCCACTCCTTCTGACGTAGCGAAAATTATAGGAAAGATGAACAAATCTCACAAAAAAGAAAACTCACGAAAAGTTTTATTTCATTTAAATCAATCTGCGGCCTCAAGAGGCTTACAACGTATTTATAGCAAAAACCTAGAAAATTCGAAAATTAAATAATAATAATAAAAGATTTTTTTCCAAAAATGGAAAAAAATCAAGCTAATGACGGAAATTAATAGTCCTAATCTTCGGGATTACTCTTCAACAAACGGAATGTAAATCCGAATTTATTTGATTGAGATATACTCAAAATAAGAATTACCAAAAAAAGGGAAAAAAAGGCCTAAACGAGGGCCTAAAGAAGGAATTTCCCCGAAATTGGTCCTATGTCAAAGCCTTTGAGTTTAACTTTTCAGCCCATTTCCAACCGAATTAGACTACAAATTCGTCAAAATGGACAACTCCAAATTTCCTCCAAATTATTTTTTCTTACGCCGGTCCCACTTTGCCATGAAGTTCAATTCCTTTTGCACCACATCATAACCTCCCGGTTGAGAAAAATTCGCCTTTGAATCTGGCGGAGGAATAACGTCATCAGAATTATCACCATGAAATGGCACCAGATGCTTGACATTAAAAACGTTGGATGTACGAATATGATTGGGCAGCTTTAAACGATATGCATTCGGATTAATCTTCTCAATTATCTCCAATGGACCAATTTTTCTTACAGCAAGCTTGGTATATTCATGAGCAGGAATACGGTCCTTCGTCAACACTGCTCGAACAAAGTCACCAACCTCAAACTCAACATGGCGACGTTTAAGATCCGCATCATGTTTGTACTTAGTAACAGCCGCCTGCAAATGATCAAAAGTCTGTGAATGAACTTGCTGCAACTGTTGAATGAAATCCTCCGCTTTACCATGCATTTTAACAGCAGTGGAAGCTGGAACCAAATCAAAAAGACTACGAGGAACAAGACCATACACCACTTGAAAAGGACTAAAGCTTGTACTTCGGTTAACTGTATGATTGTGAGCAAATTTGGCTTTACATAATTTTTGATCCCAAGACTTGACATGATCACCAACCAAACAACGCAGCAAATCACCTAAGGAATGGTTCACTACCTTCGTTTGACCATCTATATGGGGATGATATACACTGTTGAAATCCAACCGTGTATTGACCAAACGCCATAAGTTGCGCCAGAAGTGACTAAAGAAGTGAGTATCCCGATCAGACACAATAGAAACAGGAAGACCATGTAGACGATAGACCTCACGAAAATACAGTAATGCCACATTGACAGCATCCGTAGTCTTCTTGCAGGGAATGAAATAGACCATCTTGGAAAAACAATCAACCACTACAAAAATAGAATCACATCCATGCTGAGTCCTGGGAAGTCCTAAGATGAATTCCATACCGATGTCTGTCCAAGATTGGGTCGGAATAGGCAGGAGCATATACAAACCAGCATTCATCGCTTTCCCTTTAGCAAGATGACATGTTCGACAACGCTCTACGAACATACCAACATCTTTGCGCAAGGAAGGCCAAAAATAAGAAGCCATAACAATATGTAATGTTCGATCACGATCCACGTGGCCCTCATTATGCAATTATTGAATTATCTTAAGCTGCAAACTGCTATCAGGAACACATAACTGATTTCCCCGAAAAAGAAACCATCGACCCACACAAAGTCCGATTGCACACCCTTCTGCAACTTTCGAATAATCTGT